TCCATAGGTGTTAAAAAAAGAACAGAGTTGTGTGTATTTTTATCGCTGTCTGCTGGGCAGTCTGGTCAAGAACACTGAATATTCTTACTGTCTGACTGACTTCCTGGCCCTATTGTTAAAAATGGCCACCAGGGTTTAAAGTAGTCTGCATCAAAAGTTCCTCCAACTTCATTCTCTCTCCATTTCTAAAATATGAATTATGTAAGGGCTAAGTGCTTCAATCAAATTATTTTACTTTGTATAGCCCAAAACAATACGAAATAGTGATCTCTTAAAACTTAAAATATAGAGCATGTCTACATTATAATCTTATTGAGTTACCAACCATTAATCCACCAATTAGGAAGCAATTGGCGATATTGGTGAGGCAAAACTGAGCAGAACCAGACTCATTGGTAGGCAGCCATCTGTCTTGACTGGATTAATCTGACAAGGTCAGGATTCTTTTTCTCTATGGAAAATGATGCACATGTCCATTGAAGGAGTTTGTCCCTCGCTGTTTTCATGTGTCAGTATGCCTCATCCTGGATCGCAACATTTAGTTTTATGGCTGAAATCTGTGATTTTATGCCAACTGACATTTAGGATGTCATAAATGTCTCCCCTCTAACTGTGTCCAGTTCCCTTCAGCTCCAGAGATGTGGCAGAGATGTGAAGCCCTTTGAACAGGCCAAACCCCGTCTATCCATGGCTCTGGTCCCAAATGGTGGCAGCCGGCTAACACATCTCTTGGTTGCTATTTTTCCACATCCCAGGTTATTTACCTCGCTGGAAACGTCACTAAGAAGGCTTTGGTAGGAAGCCATCTCCCTTCTGCTCCCACCACCTATCTTCTCCCTCACTTGCTTATTTTATTTCACCTTATCTATCTCACTCTTCCAGCCTTCTTACTGCCCATTCATGTTTCTCCTCTCATATCACACCATCATGCGTAAAACTATATCCACCTCTCTCTCTCTCCAGGGAATAGGCTGACATTTGCACTTGGATATTGAAGTCATTTCCTTGTGCTAAAGTTCCTCAACATACAGAACCTTACTTTGCACTTGACACACAGGCAAATATCAGCAGCTGCAATCTCACATTATGACCAAAAGGGCTGCATCCATGAATTTGTTTACCTTTTTCACAAACCAGTGACACTGAGCTGTTCTGCACATGCTTACATGCATCTTTTGTATGGGTTTGTATAAGGGAACATGTGGTGCTTCAATTAATTGTTTCATTGATTTTCTTACATAACCCATTTTAATATTACAGAGGATAAGTATGTGTGCTGCACCAGGTGGCTTTGTGATGCATCAGTGAATTATTGATGGCTTTGATTCTAGATCTCTTTTAAAGATGAACCTGAATCAAAAAGGCGGTCCCCTAGTGGGAAAATTATACAGCATATACCTTTGTGGGGAAGCTGGGCGATGAACTTTCATCATCTCAAAGAAGTAAATCACTTCAGTCTATCTCTTTTGTTGGTAAAGGGGCATTCATTTTAAGATGCTTTAAAATGAGACAACACAATGCCTGATTTATAACCAGTACTTTCAAGCCTGTAGAATAACTGTAATGAAATTTTGAACGTAGGCCTTGAGTTGAAAAAATACATTCGCTGACAGTGGCAGCTGGTCATATAAAATAGACTTCCAAAGCAACAAAAGGCTGAATTGTTCTTCCGCAGCATGTCACAATATGCCCGCTTCAATGCAACAACAATAAATACAGCATGTCACTTCTTTGTCTTCGGTTCTTTATTGTCATCTGTCATCAAGACCAGACCACACAGATTAGAAATATCCAGAAAATGTTTTGTTGATATGGCCATAATTAAAATTCAGTTCAAAGGAGCTTGAGCGCTTGTAAACCTGCTTCAATGAAACTTTGCATTATATACAGTGATACTTGTGGAAATTTCCAGTTGGAATGAAAAAGCCTCTTAGTGCATTTATTGATAACTGTAAATTGTCTCCAAAAAGCTGCTAAGCAATTCAGTTGAGCGTGTTTGAATTACTGAGCTCCTGACCTCTTCTTTAATGTCAGATACATCAAAGTTACAATCCAGCTTTTATATAGCTGTATTCAAACTGCACGCTCAGTTCAAACATTTTATGAAGTCCTTTACTGAATTTTAGGTGAAACTGTTAAATGTCACTGGCTAGAAATAAGTTTCATTTTTCATGGCGTAAAAGTAAATTAGCTCTATTTGTCACTGCTCTACATATGATTTCAATCAGCATGCAACAAATCTATGCCCTAAAGTGCAATTTACCACAGAGAGGCCTGTAGAAATATAATTTGAATATTAGAAATGTGCTGCACATTGCAAAGAGATAATGTGGAGACTCAGACAGAAGCAGCACGGACGAGTGTGAAAGAGTGATGAGCATGATTTTTAACTGGGGTTTTTCCTCTTTCTTGGGTTGCGCATCTTTCCCCTAATGAGCTCCTCTTGTCTCGGGAACTCCAATACTCCCTCTACAGTCCTCTTCTGCTTCGCTGTGGGAGCGTTTCGTTTGGATTGGGAATGTTTAACCCCATCTCCCATCCCTCATGCCAGGGAAATTACGACCAATGTCAGACCAGATACAGCGCTAACCACCCGCCTGGTGTCAAGACAATGGCCAGAGTGTCGTGCCTGCACAATTGGATGACAACTCATCTTCAAGAGATGAAGGGTAGAGAAACCCTGTATTTCACAGTGTATATCATGTTTTTCCTAGGTACTGTTACAAGCTACACACAGCCCCACAGCTAAATGCTATCCTTGCGCCTAACGCGAAGGCCAGTAAGCCCGTAACTTAATGCCTCTCCTTACATGTTGCATAAACGTGAGTGTGTGTATCCTGCTTTACCTGAATGTGTGTGCAACTGTCCTGTCTGTTTGAGGGGTGCGTGTAGGTGACTCACCTCAAAGAACCTCGTACGTGCCGCGACCAGCTCACTCAAACAGCCCGATCCACGGAGCCACTTGGGGAACGATCTCCTCCGCCAGCCCTCTCTTTCATATCAGTTTAGTTCATGTGTAAAAAGCAGCCGTGAAGTGTTGAAACAAAAACAAACGTTACTTCAGATTCAGTCTCTCAGGTGTCTGCGTCCTCGTGTCTTCCTCGCGGCGTCTCTTCGACTCGAAACCAATTCCCACCGGCTCCTCCGCAGGTGCTGCTGATAAAGATTACAGAGACAGAGCCACCACACACCACACCCCCACCTCAGGTGTGTCATCAGTACTGACCCTGCTTCTCCTCCTACCAACCACGCCTACCGCTAAAGACACTGAAGTGAATCCTCATAACGCATTATCATAACAGTACTGTAAACCTGTGAGTGCACCTAATGCATGCTAATGGAGTTTCCTACAACACCAGTGCAAGGTCAATGTGCCTGCAACCTTATTACTTTGTGCGTATGTGTGATTGGGGAGTTTGTGTGTCAGTGTGTGTATATCCCCTCAAACCAGGCAATGGTGTAAAATATGGACCTTGCCTATATGGGAGGAGGCGGCAGAACATTTTCTCTTCACACATTTTTGCACAAACATACTGTACATTATCTGGCTTTGATGATGTCATTTTTTTCTCTGGGTGTCCACACTGTGACATAAGGCAAAAAAGTCAACAGACCAACAAAGTAACACAGCTTCACCCACAGTGAGTGAACTGCACGTGTGCACAGAGGCACAAACAATACTCTTCCTTCTAAATCTGACTCTACCCAACTCACACACACATTCACTCACATGCTGGGGTATGACAGAGAGCTATTGACTGCCTCTACCTGGCCTGACAGACCATTCACAATTTCTCCCTGCGTGAAACCTAATGTGCTGAGAGAACTGAGAGGGCTTGTGTGTGTGTGTGTGTGTGTGTGTGTGTGTGTGTGTGTGTGTGTGTGTGTTTGTGTCAGGAAAATGTATTGCTTTATTTCTGCCAGGTGATTTTTGCTGCTTTTGAGTGTCTCAAACACTTACTGCCATAGTCACTTTTTTTGAGTGCAAGAAAACTGAGTTTACACTGAAGTCAGGTTGGCCAGCGTTGGTATTTTGATCGTTTTCTTTGACTGGTTTAAGACGTTGGTCCATTGGAAGTTGTATTTAGACCCACATCTGCATGACTTTATTAATGGGTAATGGAGGGTGGCCATTGTTAAGTTGTTGTATTTACATTACAATTTTAATTATAACTTCTTTTTAACCTTCATTCGTCAAAAATCCTCCCCTGGCTTCTTCTGTATGAATGAAGCCTAAAATGCATGATCCTCGGAGCTTTTTCTTTTTTTCAAGATCATTTTTTTTGGTGGGCTTTTTAATGTATCTTGTCGAGGCCGAAGTGCTTGTCATGGTGTAGTCGAAGCTCGATCCAATAGCAACTAGACTTGGTTGAGGATCGTGAAGATGTTTCACCTCGCCGCCAAAAAGTGACCTTCAGTTCATAAAACAGATTCAGATCCAGAACTGAAGAAGCCTTTCACAGGCGAGGCGAAACGTCTTTAAGAACCTTCAACCAAGTCCAGTTGCCTTTGGATCAAGCTTAGAATTTACCAAGACCAGGATTACTGACAATTTACACAGAGACGTTATCATGCTGTATGTTTTAGGATGTACCTTAAGGTTGCGAATTCTAGGCTGACTTACTCTCCCTCAACCTCAATTTATACATGTTTCCTCTCCTGTGAGCGACTATCTTGTAGAAACCGTGTAAAAATGACTATATTTAAAGCTGAGAGTACTTGAATCCAATGTCGGAGATGTTAAGTGTTTTTTACTCACGTATTGACATTCAATATACTTGTGGTTTAGAAGTACTGTGAACTATTTGAACTACTCCACTGAACTAGTTAGATAAGTGTATGTTGAGCATTCATGTTCTATCTTATCGTAAAATACGCTGACATTACCTTTTTTCTTTCCCTCCTCCGTCTTCATTTCCAATTTTCTCTCCCTCTTTCTGACTATTTTCCCTGATCCTGTCTTATTTTGTCTTTCTTTCTTCTGCCTCCCCTCTCCACAGAGAAGTGTGATGAAGCTCTGGCCTCTCCTCTTCCTCACACAGCCTTCACCAGCTCGTCCGTCTTCTCCAACGGATACGCACCTGGGTATGCCAAGCTCAACAGGAGAGGAGGTAAGCGAAACATGCAAAGACGTACACCTCAAAAGCCTTCTTATGAGTGAACACATGAATGACAGAACAAAGAGGAAAGTAAATATTTAATTGAGGCATATGTACTTACATCCTTATGGATGATTTTAAAGATTACACAAGCCCTCAGAGAGTCACACACAGCTGCTCTCCTCTTCCTCCTCTTTCTCTTTATACTCTCTCTTTCCTTTTACCTTTTCTATTCATCCCCACTTTCTTTCTTTCTCTCTCTCCCTCCCTCAGCTCCACTCATTATCTCAGTGACTCATACTAGAGCTCATTTCCACATCAGTCCACAGCAGGGAGAGAGAGATAGGGCCAGACAATTACACCCCTCTATGTTTACACAATTAATAATTCAATTGTTACCATCTAATATAGTCACACTAAAGCTGAGACGACAGCCCTCAGAGCTGACAAATAACGAAAAGGTTATCTGCTGTGCTTAATCATACCAATAGAATTATTACTGAGAGAGAGGACAGGACTGTTCATCCTTAAACAAAGCCACACACACACAAGATAAACTATATATAGCTTTCTTTTATTCAGTCTCCTCAAGGATGGCGGTCCACATGTAGGGAATTAAAAATGGTTAAAGCATATAACAAATTTTACTTTGACATTGATTTATCTTTGTAGGTTTACTGCACAACAACAACACAGTTAAAAATGCACATAAACAAGTTCTAAATATGTCACTTAATCATGCGTCTTATTTCTGAAAAAACCTCGATACTCAACTTTAACAAAGTCGGCATTTAAGAACTTCAATATAGTACTCTCTTCTCAAAAGCTTGTTCAAGAAAATCATTTCAATTAGTGTCTACTAAAAGTGTGAATTTGTTCCCCCTCGTAAGCAGCCTCTATCACCTAAAGGAAAAAATACCTAGATGTATACCCAGACTAAATGACTTGGGGAGGTAGAGTGTGTTGTATTCATTTATTCAACTGTTCCCTATAGTTATGTTACAAATACAAATGTTGAGGGTTTCAGTGCTATGTGTGAAGACAAAATAATTCATATTTTTGTAGTGGGAGGTGTGATTATCAGATGGTTATTCAATATTATTTACAAGGGGTAACATATGTTATTCTTTAAGTGCTTTGCTGTGAAATCCCAACAGAGATCAGGTCGGGAAAACATCCTTTGGGATTATTTGTGACTCCAACAGAAGTGTGCTTTTTGGACTTCTTTTGTTTGGGGATGAATAAGTGTATTTGAACTCCAGGCTGTTACACTGTAAAATATGGAAAATAAGAAAGGGTTGAATACTAATACAGGGCATCGGAGCGAAGGGCTCGCACTCAACACACACACACATTCACAGAGTCTTCCATGCCCACGCAGTCATATTATAAGGAGGGGTCCCTCCAAGCAGCAACATTTGGCAGTCAAATGTAACATCAGTAAGCCAATCTCCCAGAGCAGTGAAGCAGGGGAGGTGCAAAATCAATGGGACACAGCGATCATATTAGGCTGTGTGTAAATGCTGGCCCCTGGTACAAACCCTGTGTACCTCTGACTACTGACACGTCCACTGTTCTACATCCATATACATGTGTGTAAACCTAATTGTGCGTTCAATTTGGCTAAAAGTTTGTCAAATAGTCTTTCCTTGAATGTTCATTTAAGAAGAGAGAGAGAGCTGAAGGGCAAATGTGCTGCAATGGCACAAAAAAAAAATCATTTCGGAGAAACGAGCTGCAAATTGAGAATCAATGTGAATCCAAAAAGAGATACAAAAGTTCAAAAGAACTGCGAAAACTTAAATATGGTGCAAACAATGCACTATCACAGGGAGAAAAAAAAAGGCCTGCAAAGCCAATCTCTCAGAGATTGAAAATACTTATATGATGCGTTCAAAAACGTACAGACTCAGAAAATAAATGCAAGAGAAAAGCAGTGCATGTCATCATGACAGATGATCTCCAGGTTGGAGAGAGTGAGAGAGAATGACGTCACACAATCATCACACAAAAATAACCCTGCTTTTGGTGAAACTTGACACAAATTTGTTGAGATGGTTTCCGCGAGACAGAAGTTATGCTAAATGATTGATGAGATTTAGCATAACTTTTCTGGGTCTGTTCATATTTCTCTTTACTTTGTCCATGTGTTTGCTGTTGATGCATTTGGTTGGCAGCCTGTTTTCTTTTGAAACACAATTCCTTGTATCTTTTTTGGACATTTGTATGGGTTTTTGATGTTGCATGGTTTTGAATTTGCAACCCATTCTGCCTCTGGGTTTTGAAGACAGCATAGAAAGCAAAGACTCGGACACTTTGTCTCTGTGCCTCCTGCACTTCTCTGCATCAGTCCGCTAATATCTCACTCTCAATGTGCTATTCACTCTTGTTGTCTTTCACATTTCTGTGCCTCCTGTGCTCTCTATTTTGGTCTTCTTTCTTCATCATCAACTCAATCTCATCCCTTTTCTCTTTCCTTTTCATTTCAATGGTCCTGATTGTCTCACAGTCACTCTTCTCTCACTACGTTTCTATTTCACATGTTAAAAGAACAATTTTCAAAACAAATTAGGGTTACTGCATGTTAAATGTGGTGGCTATGTTCCTCCAAGCGGGAAGCTTAGGTTTAAATCCGGGCTGTGGCTTCTTTTCCGCATGTCGTTCCCCACTCTCTTTCTCCTGATTTCTGACTCTATCCACTGTCCTATCTCTAAAACTAAAGGCATAAAAAGCCCCATAATAAATGTTTATGTTTAAAACCCTGCACCATTCAATGAGTTGGACAGAGATAAGAATTAATTAATTGTAGAGACGGTTCTTTTCTTTAAATACAAAAGCTTTCATGTCTTAACCACCTGCAATCACTGTGTCAACAACACAGATGACTGCTCCATTTTTAACATACAAAATAGTGACAGCCCGATGCTAAATGTGTTATATATAGTTATTGTATATAGTGGAAGGCCCCTCAGTGACATATTTTAAAGGAGAAATATACCATACTAGAATTATCATGATACTTTGACACTTCTTAGCAGCCACTGGAGTGTTTGGCCATGAAGACAGAATCATGTGTAGAGAAGGCTTGGAAAGCTCTGCTCTAACTTTTTAACAAAAGAGTGATGAGCTCCAAATAGGTTTTTTCAGCTGTCACATAGAAAGCACCTGAGCTGTGATCTGCAGCTCACACGGGTCTGTGTTCCGTCAGTTGAAGACACATGGCCTATGGATACAGGTGAAAATAGAAGAGGCATGGAGAGGGTGGAGGCAAAAGAGAGAGAGGAGGTGGGAGAGGAGTGGAAGACACGGAGAGGGTAAAAAGAGTGTTGGATCACACCGGGAACAGACCGACGAGAAGGAACACTGAGCTGTGATTGGAAACAACTGATGAGTCATGTACTGTCAATTAATTTAAAGCCTATTGTAAATACAGAATTTATTTTAAGTTTTAGTCTTTGATGTGAAAGCTTAAGTGATGACAAAAAAAAAGCAAATCCGATTTCAATATGGATGCATTAACTACCTCTGCCAACAAGAAAATCACACTTTGAGTGTTTTTATTTAGCTGTCATTCTTGGAAAACTTGTCAGAAATGATTTGTGCACACAGAACAATGATGAATAACTTCGTGAAGAAAGAAGGCAAGGGATTGGTGAAATGTGTGTGTGTGTTTCACGTATACTGTACATGTGAGCGTGTGCGTCGTTTCAAATATGTAGCCACTAATCTTATCTTCATATACCATTTTCTTTTCTCCTCGTCCCTTCTCTCTCGTCTCTTTCGGCCCTCGATCACGTCCTTGTCTTCTCCCGCTCTCCCTCTCGATCTTATTTTCTTACACCCTCAGTCCCATTCTCCATTTTCTCGGCTTGTCCCCTTTTTCTTTTCTTCCCAGACCTCATTATCCATTTTTCCTCTCTCGCATTCTCAGTCTGACGCATACTGTACTTTTCCCAAGTTTTAAAAAGTTTAAAAAGTTTGCCTGTAACCCTTTCTTTTCGAACACAGGATGTCACAGAACTGCAGTACAACTCTTCTCCGACTTCCTGCACAATTAGTCACATCCGTCCTCTCCTTTCATGCATTTCTTTCACTTTCTGTCATCTGGCAAAAAAAAAAAAGTTCTTTGATATACAGTACATAGCTGTTCCACTCATCCATTGTTAATGGCGGTCCGCTCCTAATTAAATCACTCAGTCTCCCTCTGCTCCCTTTGCTCCATGACAGATAGATGACATAGCAGAGGGCTAATCAGCTGTTTTCTCTCCATGTCATTTTTTCTGGCGACCTTTCATCTTAACAAAGACGTCTCATTTTCTCTACATGTGATTTTCAGACTATGAGAAACACATTCTCACATGGTCTCTCGGGTGCATAAAGGAATGTGTTAAAAACGCTAATGTGCTGAGAGAAATGTTATTATCTAAACCCACTCACCCACACATGCTCCCACACTGTTAGTAAGACATTCTTCTCGTTATGTTCTTTGCTTTGACACTGTCACTTTTGTTTGTGTGTCACGCCTGTCGCCAGCTTCTCACCACTTGTCCAAAAAACACTCTGTGCCTTCATTACTTGCTCAAAACTCTGATATTCCCATTGTGTTTGAACTATTTTTCCTTGTTTTTTGTCTCTCACACACACTTGTCCCACAGTCCCTAATTTTTGCTTGTCTTGTCCACATTTTCTTTCTGCTGTGTCTACTCTATTCCTGTCGTCTGAGAGTAACTATCAGTCCTGTAAAAGCCATTACCCAGTCAAGCTGTTCTATTGAATCACATATTTTTCATTTCCCTGCTGTGCTGCAACAGATAAAACCTCATATTGCATCACAAACATACACAGATGTTTACTCTCCAGTCTTACGTTTTTTTTTTACTTTCTTTATATTCTACATACATCCTGCACTGTATGTATTTATGTTTCCACGCTCACACCCCAAGGAGCTATGGACAGCCCTGTGACATGTCCAATAAGTTGAGCTCTGATCATCTGTATCTGAGAAAAACAAC